CAAAAGTCAAACAGCTTCAGTTTCCTCAAGGTAGAATTCTGAAAACAATAAAGCGATATTAACTTCAGGAGATGGCAGGACCTGTCCGGTAAGAGAAACAGGTGGTGATGTATGCTTTGGCATACTTCTATATATATCCTGAATTCGCTGGTAGAAATATCTTGAAGATAAACAACCAAACTGCATAGGAAGTGAATGAAAGGCAAAAAATGTAAAAATGATCTCAACAAGGTTCTTTGTGTGATTTAATACAGTTTAAACGTAACAGGTTTTGACTTACTTTCAGGTACGGTGATAAAACAGTTGTTGCCGGCTTCAGAAATGCAGATGGATTGCCCTTTGGTTTCTCAAAGTTTGCCACCCACTTCTAATATCATAAAAACAACAAACCAAGGCATGATACTGGTTAAAAAAATCTACATTACTATGTTGCCTCCCCAATTACATGCACTTGACCTTTCAGCAAGAAACATCAATCTTATATGTGAATACTGATGAATTGGCATCGCAGCATTGAGATTATAGTTGTTATTTTTGAATGCTGAAACTTAGAGTGTAGAAAGTACCTTGTCTTTCATGCATTCATCTAACCTCTTCAATGCTTCTGACTCACCCCCTTTGAAAGGAGAGAACTCATCCTGAACAAAACTATCATTAGGTGCTCAGAAGGGGTATGATCTAAAATATAAAACACGCTCACGCACCTGTTCAGAATCTCCATATCCAAGATCTGTGATGGTAGGAACTTCAGAAATATCACAACTTCCAAGATGGCCAACTGGAGGAAGTGAAGAGTACACGGTTGTGAGAGGAGAGGGTGGTTCCCCAGCAAGTTTGACAAACGATTGATAACTAAGGGGTGGCTTCCCTCCGTTCTTTTTTGGCATTAGCAAGAACACAAACAAATTGATCACAAGTTAACATAATCAGAACAATAATAACAATGAATAACCTAGGAATCCAACCATAAAGGAAAAAACTATTCATTCGTAAGAACAGAATATCATAAAATTAATAAGCAATGAAAAAAACTTGTTAACTTGAAACGATTTGTTGAAGGTTCAAACTCACCTTTTGTATAATATCCGTGGGGTTGAAGAGTGTGTGACTCACAGGAGAGAAAACCTCAATTCCAGCAGCGAGTGCAAAGTTCTGTAAACAGATACCCAGTAAAGCCAACAGCCACACCCCAACAACACACCCTTAAAAACAAGGACTAAGCTTCTCAAACAACAAAAACATCTCAAGTAAACAACATTTGTACCTTAACTTTAACATCCAGAGCCTGATAATACGGTTCAGTGTCGTACTCAAAGCACAGCTTGCTGACATTCCACTGAAGCAACAGTCACAAACAAAACAACTAGCTTGAATTTTGCAAACAATAGAAAGAAAGAAATCGATGGTAGAGATCACGGATATATTATACACATGCCTCCTTCAAGCAATGAATGACGACTTCAGCTGGGTCACCCTTGAGAATCAAAAGTCGCGAGCCAAGGTTCTTGAGGTTGAGGTCCAGGTCCACGAGGCTCTCCAACAAGAACTTGATGCGGTTCAGACCCGCGCGCGATGATCCAGGTGAGAAAGCATCCGGGTCGGGTTTCATATAATGCGGGTCAATCACGAAGACAGGGTAGAGATGAGAGGCACTTCGGGACGCGAACTCGAGAGCCGGGTTGTCGTGGATCCGAATGCCCTTCCTGAACCACACCAGAGAACCCGACCCGGATCCCATCATCGAAGGCACAATTGCAAAGGTGGAGGTTTGAACCGAATCCTCTTCTTCGCGCCTTTCCTTAAACACCAATTTACGTTTCCATAATGAAATACGAAGTTGTTGTTTCTAACGTGCGCCGGGAGTTTACATATTGAGGTTTACGTGATTCGGGGTTTGGTTTACGCACACGGCGTAGGTTAGAACTTGTTTGGATAGAGAAAATGTAACGGTACCTGAGATGCCACGTTGCGGCTTTTACGCCACGTACTGTTGTTATTGCTCATGTGAATTCAATTAATTCGATTTTGGCTTCATTTTTTTATTAAACTGCTTTAATTTATCGTTAATATAATTCAAATTTTCTTCGATTTCTTGTACCATTTTATGTTTCACCGTTGACAATTTAGTTTATTGCAATTTACATTTTCAGTTAATAATTTCAATCCATCTTTATCTCCTTCATTTTCCTTTATTATCTTTTACTTATTATACACCATTTCATCTTTATATACAAAAAATATAATTGTGGAAAAAAAATGCATGAACAATCAAATTTTAAAACGTAGCTATTAATTTTGAGAATATCACTACTTCACATAAGGAAAAATTCAATAAAAGTTGAAAAATATATTCTATTATCATTTTGGAGAAAAGTAATTTTGTCCTTCTAAGAAATTTTTTACTAACGAGTGTTTCTATTTATCAAATAAAAGAATTGCTATTATTTTTAAGACATTGATAATATTCACTTTTTCATGTAATTTATCTTTTAAAATACTAAAAAACTATTCCTAAAGAGATTGCTTATTCTCAGGATATTAATGATATTCACTTTTTCATATAATTTATCTTATAAAATACTAAAAAACTATTCCTAAAAAGATTGCTGTAAAAAAAAACATATTAAAACCATGAGTGACACAAAACATTAGCAGAATTACTTTTTTTCTACATTTTATTTTTTACAAAATAATAAATTATTTTTACACTAGCACAAGTTATGACTTATGTATTATAATAACATTCTTAATTTAATTTTTATTCCACTACTATTTATAAAATATCATTTCCTAAATTTTTACAACATTATTAATTTAATTTTTTATCTTTTGTTAACGTAAAATACTGTTCCATCCTGAAACGTCATGATCTTTAGAGAAACTCTTGTCTTAGGTTGATCTGAACGTAAAGACCGTGCTTAGACAAGTGATTGAACATTTCTATGCAATGGTTAATTTTGTATTAAATCATGAATGTCATTTTCTTCATTGACTTTCACCAAATTATTATATGATTATACTAATTAAAGTTGTATTCTGCGATAATACAACTTAAAAAAAAGATTTTTATTGGTGAAATAGAAAATAAAATTGTTCATCGTGATATAATATTAGCTCGTTATCTAAAACAGACAAGTTAAAATATATATACTAATAATAACATGTAAATAAAATTACAAATAAATTAGAAAAGGATATATATATATATATATATATATATAATATTAATATAAATGATTAAAAAAGTCAAATTTTAATTAAATTTAATTGTATAAAATTAATCACATAAAAATTTAATCGTCTTTTTTAACATTATTAATATATCCTTATATTCATGATTAAAAGTTATTGCGGTATATCTGCACAAAAAGAAATACATTATATCCCTCTTTTCAGGTCAAAATTATAATTTATTTATCTATTACATAAATGAATAATTAAACCTTAGAAATATTACCTACTGATTATAATTTCTAATATTATTTGATAGTAATAATTATTATTGGATTTATTCTAATTGAAAACATACATGAAAAAAAATAAAAGTTTGCACTCTATTATTTTTACTGTTAGTAATTTACATTAAATTTTCAACACAATGAAAACACTTATTAAAAAAAAAAAATCAAATAGGTCAGTGAAATTATGAAATTTCTTGACAATTATCAAGTATTGTTACGACACTGTCCGGACCACAACACGACAGGTAAAAGGTTTATTGAGTTTTTAAAACATATTTAGATATCATCTGAAAGTATATAGAGTAATTAATTTACTCTCTAGAATCAATTCCTTTCCATATTGTCTCTGTTTTGCAAATTTAATTTTATATTATATAAAATAGTAAAGAAAAATTATCTCATTTTCAAAAATATTAAATCATAATTAAATTATGAGGAAGTATTATTAAAATTTTACCACTAAATTTAAAATTAAACTAAAACGCGAAGTGTTTATAGTTTTAAAAAGTATTAAATTTAAATTTAGTAAAAAAAAGAGAGTTAATAACTAGTAAAAAAACACATAGACATTGAAATTAACTGTTACATATCATGTTGCATTGAAATTAACTGTTACATATTTGCCCATTCATATAAATACTTTGTTTAACACTATTTAACTATACAAAATTTGTGTTGAATACCTTAATTAAAATATTCCAGTGGAGCCGAATTATAAATTTTAGATTTTTAGTTTTTCCCCAAAAGAACATTTTAATTAAAAAAACACTTAATAAAATATATATTTCTTTATTTTCATTACTCAAAATATTTTAAATTATTATTTTAGTTTCCTATATTTATTTCATGATAAATTAACCATAATTCTTAAATAGTTTAGATAAAATAATTTAAAAGAATAAGTAATTGAAAATAATAGTTTAGATGGGTAAGTTGGACCCATGATTAAACTAGAGATTGAACATTTTTTTTATAGCTATACAAGTTTGCCCTAATATAATAATAATAATGCAGATACGTGGCTATGCAGCATTATGGGCTTATTATAAGAGGATTCGACCTAATTTTTGTGATATTTGTTTGGTAAGTGTGTTATTCATGTTATTCAAATTCCCACACGCTACATGTGAATCATACAAAGTACATTCTTCCTATGGATTTCTAAGGACTTGTAGGAGAATAAAATAACTATGACCAAAGTTGTTATTCAATTGGACTATATATATGATAATAAAATATATGGTGAGATCATGCTTCAAATTATATATTTGCTTCGGTACCTACTAAATTATATATATTTTTCAATAATCATCTAAAATAATTTAATTAATAAATTAAAAAATAATACACTCATACATATCTGAATTAGTTGTATAAGATGTTATATGAACCAAATATATTTAGCTGTGCATCAATCATACATTTGAAGAGATTGGAGTCAGATTAATTAATTACCCTAATAATCACATACCAAAGATTAATTAATTATTCTAATAATTAGATACCAAAAGGTTAAAAATCAAAAGAAAGAAGTACAAGTAAACAAATCATGCACAAATATTATACATTACAGATTGTCCCAAATCATGAACAGTTGAAAGAGTTTTTGAAAATTAATTAAAGTCGACGAATTGAAAATTGAAAAGCAACAGAATTCCTATTTCTCGTACCCTTTTGAAATATCGGAGGCGAGTCTGGAGGCGATAGCAGAGTGGTACATGATGTCATGAAACGTCGACGTTTCTACCGTTTTCTTCCGCAGCTGTTTCGCCTTCTCTTCTGTGAAGCACCCAGCGAACCTTGAACCGGGCCGGTTCAGCTCTCGCTCCAGATCTGGTTTTTTGCTCGGATTTGGGCTGATGTAGTCCGCTTCCGCGGGCCAACTGAACAGAGGGGCCCACCAATTGGAAGAAACGGCCTTCCTGTTGTTGGGATCGGGCTTTGCCGGCGAGCCCGCAGAAGCCCGGATGATTGGGGGTCGGATAAACGTGAATGTGGTTGCCATGAGTAAGAGAAAAGAGATAACAATGGATTTGGTTTTAGCTTTGATTGTTAAAAACTTAGAGAAAAAGAAAACAAGTTAAAGTTGAAGTTAGAGAAATTATCAGGTGTGTCAAGATTCCATGAGGGTATGCGCTGCATCAGCGTAAATCTTCAAGATGAGATATGATGCTGGAAAGAATAGGTATTTAGGGAATTTTGGTATGAGTGTAGAATTGAGTTGGTGGAGAGCGTAACAGAGGAAAATAATTGTGGATAAGCAAGTACACGTGGCGGGTAGAGAAGATAATGCTGACTATTGTGTCTCTTTTCTTACTTTTTGTGAGATATTAAGTGCACTTTTTCTAAGATGTTGAGTGTTACGGTATACTTTTTCAAATTCAGAATTTTAGAACGAAGATATGTTTTATTTTTTATTAAAGTGATGTGTCTTTTTTAAATTGTCAAAATGAATAAAATTAAAAAATAAGTCATATTTGAAAATACTGTTTTCCTTATGACAAGACTATATTTGTAATTAACTTTATTTCAAGTTGAAGTAAATCTTCTTTATTAACGAAAACAAACATATTAAAGGTAAATCTTAGTTAAATACACAATTTTAAATTTATTATTATAATAAAGTCAAAGTGAAATGAATGTAAGATGTAAAATATTTTAATATTAAATTTTAAAATGACAGAAGTTTATATAAAAGAAATTCTTCTTTTGAATTTTTGTTTGAGATAGATGATATTTTGATTATCATATATATGTTACATTAAAGCTTTGAGTAGCACATATTATATTAAATCAATCAAATATTAAATTTGGTAAGTAAAATTAGTTCTATGTGTAGTGTTGGTTGTTATTTCTTTTAAATGGATGATTAGAAAGAGATGTTATGTATATATGATTTATCTTTAAAGTCATGCCTCAATTGTTCAAACAGTAAAAAGAGATTATTAAGAAATTATTAACAAAACACACTTTAAGTGTGGGATTCAATGTTTCAAAATTTGTAATGAATGTTTTTTTAAAGATGTACATGAAAGTATAAATAACATCTCTTGCATGGAAATTTAATCAAGAACACGCTTATTGAAGATGTTGATATCTATGTATGAATTTAAGAATTAATATGTTTGTTTTATAGTGCTGTTGAATTGAAAAAATGTAAACTGAATAAAAATGTGGATAACTTTAAAAACACGTTTATTTTGATTTATTTGAATTGCTATTGTGTAAGACATCACTTACGTGATGTTATTGTTCAAATAAAACTTAAATAATGTAAATCATTGCATTTATCGCCTTAAGTCATTAAGTAACATGCAAGATAACTCAAACATTGACTTAAAACAAAAGAGATCTCGATATAATTCTTTCTCCTTCCTAAACATGTCACTCCAAAATATAGCTTGTGACTCAAACATTGATTTTAAACACATAAGTGTGACCTGCAGGTGTTTTAAATGTGTCATAACATGTGGTAACATATGACATATGGGTTGAAAGCTAAAACGTTGTATCGAAGTTTAATTATTTTACGCTGGTGGGTGTTTTTTTTAAAACTTGTTGGATTTCTTCCAATAAGTTGGTATTGATCAAGTGTTGGCCATAAAACTTATATGATGGCCACTCAAGTGACCAGATGGAAGCTAGAGCCAAAATACCTCTATTTATCCCAGTTTCGTATTTATCATCACCATCAACGATACTACTTAGGTATCCCTATATCACCTATTAAGGACCACCTATTTTGAACTAAAGCTTATGTATATAAGTGATCTAGTTATGATTCACCATATGCAAAAGTCACTCAAAAGAGACACATATCATGCAAACACCATATTATACATATATAATTAATCATACCTTTTATATTTTACACTATCATTATACATATATACATACACACATACATGTATATGTGTGTGTAAACATTTATTATTAGCACAACATGACTATATCATCACTCAACACATTGTTGTTTGGGTGAATTCTTTAATACACATAATATAACATTCATTTAAACAATATACTTGTCTCTTAAATGAAATGTAACTATTGAATAACATCCTTCTAGAATTTACATTTCATTATTTTCTAGCTATGTATGTATTAAAAATGTACATATGACTTGATATCATATGTTTTGTGTCACCCTAACATTAACAACATATGTAAACTAAGGTTTTACGAATTTACGTTATGTTAAGTATTGATTTTTAGTAAACATTATTTTGTACGATTTAGAATCTTTTAAAGGATAGACCATGTTTGCTTATAATATGTGTGACTATATGTAAATTATTTTGTATTTGTATATAAAATAATAAAACTAGTATGTAATGTTATAATATGTTGATAGGGTTTAAGTTGACTACTTTACCTTTACATGTTAATTGCTACCAAAATCAATACATAAACAAGTTTTATTATAAACTCTGGTAGAAAAAACACAGTTTCTCATTAGTTATTACATTTTGATTGTAATTATATTCATGTGTGTTTTGGAAAACTTTGAATCTTAAAAGTAATTGTATATTTTATATAAACAATTTCAGGATGAATATATATAGTTTTATAGTAGTGTCTACTGGTATGGGTGAGACATTACAATAAATAAATATGATTTTAAAATAAAAGTGAAGTCGCATCTCTTAATCTTCAATTTTATTGTAATAATAATAAATAAATACTAATATAATTATAATCATAATAATATTCTAACCATAAGTTTTCATTGCCGCCATTAATTTTATAAATATTGTTATTATTATTCCATATTTACTCATTATATTTGTTTTCAGATTGGACATTCTTAACACCCGCTCACACAGAAAATCGGTCTATATAAAAAATTGTTTATTGAAAATGTAAAATAAAAAAAAATGTTTTGAATTTTAGTTGAATATGAAGTTAAGTTAATTTTTACATCAATTTTTTACTGAAAGTCAAATTTAAAGTAAATGTACGATTAAATTAATTCTGCGTTTTGTCATAGTATCACCATATTACCATCATCTTCAATGTTGAAATCCTAAATCTAAATTATCGTTTTTATTTAAAACACGATTTTACTGAAAGCTTTTATTAAAAATATTAATGTCACATAATAAGGGTCTTAAATTTATAATAGGATAAGTTTTAAGGATAAAATTTACTTAATTATAATAATTAAATCATCCAATTTACTGTCAACTCCCTTAACTCAGGCCTATTTATTTTTAGGATGTTTTTTGCCTTATTTCCTATTTTTAATTACAAATTTTATCATTTCAATTCTTTTATATTAGAATATTTGTAGAAGGAACATTGAAACTTATTTAATTTTTTTATTTTCTCCATCTCCTATACAAAATATGGCTATCTTTGGAAAATGATTTCCCATATGATAAGATCAATTTGATTTTAGAGTATGTAGGTCACCATGTCAGTGGAAAGCATGTTGGGTGGGACTGACCTTAGTACTTTGAGGAATCATGGCATTAGGATTGGAGCCATTCTGCAACAACATCGTTTATTGATTTTCATCCAAATGTAAAATGATATTTCTATTTATCTTATCCAAATAAAATATGGTTAGAATGGTTGTTCCATAAATATATCCATCATGGACAAAGATTCATGAGTCATCCAGACAGAGCCCATCAATTCGTACTTGATAAGGATTATTTTGAGAGGATGAATGGGGTCCAACATATATCTTAAGAACAGTGAAAGTAGCCCTCAATTATTTGAATGTGATGAGTATATTATATTCTAAAATATTATAACTGTATCGTAGATTGAGTGTGTTTTTGGGGATTGGCATATAAATGAGAATCTAACAATACAGTTGTTTTATTAATTGTGATGAACTCTAGCACTGTGAGGGTGTCAGTGATGGGATTTATGGGTTGCAGGCATTAATGGAAACCATCTGACCTCAGCTAAAGTTATTCTTACATTGACATCTATGGCATCTCCGGTACACCAATGAGAATATAACTTACTATAAAATAAATACTCATTTATTAAATCTATACCTAGTATTAAGGCCTTCTATCTGTGTAAATAAATAAATTATTGGATCCATAAAAAGATAAATTTGATAAAATTCCATACAACTGAAAGGTTTCCAACTAAAACTTATTTTGTGGTTTTAAGACGTAGGAAGTATGAAGTAATTGTGTGAGGTGAACAGAAACAAAACCATGCTAAACTATATTCATTCTCAATCTGGTGATGAATTTACAAATGTATACTGTTTCTCCACCCTCTTTAAGTGGGAAAAATGACAAGCAGATGAAAGGAAACACAATATTGACAGCTTAAAAAGAGAGAAAAGATGGGGAGAAGTTACTGAAAGGTTAAAGCCCTAAAACTAGCACGTCAAAAAATACTCCAGAGAAGAGATGATTTTTAGTATCTTTCTCTTGAAGTAACATCGTTGAGAAAGAAATGGGAGGAGGGAAAAAACCAAAACAATTATGGAAAAAAAGAAGGAAGATCGTGGACCCTTACAATAGATAACAACCCTATGTATGATCAGCTTTAAAAGAAATTAACTTATTGGCTTTGCGAGTCAGATGTAAATAAGAGTCTATTGATGAAGGGTGAGATAGCTGCAAGCAATGCCTTCGGACACTCTTCATGGGGTAAATGGCCACATCCAGATACGGCAACCAATCTCTGCACGTATAATGGTAAGAAAAGCATTAGAAATTTTAATCATGTGCGATAAAATGGAGAGTAGGAAATTCGTGGAACGGAATTGATTACAAGTACCAACCCTAGTTTTCTTGCTGTCCATTTTATACTTCTGATTTTCACCCTTATTACACAGAGTATTCACAAGTTTTGCAGAAAATTTATAACAAGATGGTATACTTACAGAATTTACAAGTTTTGAGGCCATAGCTTGACATGATTTCAAAGAAACAAGGGAATCCTCAGAACCTGCAATGACTAACACTGGAATGTCTCCTACAGCTTGTAATAATGATTCTGCATTTTTAGTTGAAAGGATGGTTTCGGATGACAATTTACCAATCTCATGAAGTGCCTCGTCCCATCCTTCTACAAACAGTGGAGCCTAAACAAAAAACAAAAAAGTTACATATAAGACTAGTTAATACGTTTCTGAATCTAGAAAAAATGCTCATAGAAAAATATAAAGAAGCACAGGAAAAAAGGATAATGCCAACAAGTTGCAGACTATATTGGAATATCATGTTAACGATGCTCAATAGAAATTGATTCCAAAATATTCAATAAT